TGGCCCGCCCCGCAAATAAAGTGACAATTTCTTTACCCGCCCTAAAGTGTCTCGATCACATAAAAAAACCCACTTTGAGCACACTTCAGATGGAAGAGATGACTTTGTTGACTGTGGAAGCAACCATGATGTTGATGGTGAACTAGGTCAAGGACAGCTGGATTTGTTTCAGGACCCAGACATGCTTACTGCAAATTCTGACAGTAGTACCTTAGAAACTGCTTCTTGTCGTGATTTTCCTTCTCAAGATCAAGTTAATAATGCTGCAGATGTGAGCGATTCAGAATCAGAAAGTGAAGGACGTTATTCAGGCAGTAGTTCTCTGAGGGAAGAATTAACCAGATGGGTGGCTATGTTTAATGTGAAGCACAATGCAGTTGACTCTATTCTGAAAGTACCGGTAAAACATGGACATTCTGATCTGCCTACCACCGCAAGAACATAAATGGGAAACACACAGACAATTCAAATACAAAATGTGTCAGGGGTAGAATATGTTAAGTTTGATGTCAGACAAAGAATCCTAGATCATTTGCAGTCCTACCCTTCAGCCATGCTAAAGGCCTTGAATGCTTTGGAAATTTCTTTAAATGTGGATGGGCTACCACTGTTTAAAAGCAACAACCGAGCACTCTGGCCAGTTTTGTGCTCTATTGATCTTGACCCAGTGTCTGTCTTTCCATTATCACTTGCAGTGGCTTCATCAAAACCTACATCTATGGACTTCATTAGTGATACGGTTCATGATCTGGCTAATTTATTAGAAACTGGAATCGAGTTGGAAGGGAGAAATCTAGCAGTACACATTACGTGCATTATTTGTGATGACCCAGCAAAGGCCATGGTGAAATGTGTAAAGCAGTACTCTGGTTATTATGGCTGTGATAGATGTACACAAAGGGGAAGATGGCTTGGTAGAATGACTTATCAGGAGGTGACAAATCTGACGCTGCGGACTGATCTGACTTTCAGAGAACAAAACGTATGCAGAACATCATCAAGAGGAAAAGATTTCCCCTTTCTG